TGCCCCACAGTAAACGAAATGGATGAATACTTTATTTTCTATCTAATATATTGACTGTACATAATTAAGTTAATGTAACACAACTGTTACATGGTCTACTGTTCATTTGGAAAAGAAGAGCATAGTGGAACTTATTTGCTTATGCCATGGTGGTAATTAAGTAATACTGAACACCATCACAACACCTTCAGACTCTCCATAGCTTCCCAGACTCAATACATTTCCTGGAACACCTATGGAAACTTTGGTCACCCACTTGTCTTCAGGGGTATTTTCTTTCTGATCCCTACAAATCAATGGAGAAATCTGGCTTTTTTTCCCTTTTCTTTTCGTCCCAGCAATAGTATCCACATGAGATAGCTTAAGACCACTTCCTTGTATAGGAAGCATTAGTGTGAAACTGAACTTTTGGAGATGAGCAGCAACCCTACAATGGAAACAGCATATGGAATACAATACCCATGATCATCATACAGTACGGTACTTTGCAATAGATCATGTTTCAAAACAAAGTTGACTGTGTAAACCTATCCACCTCCCGCCAAGAGTGTGAAATAAGAGCAAATCTGCCCAGACACTGGGAATGGGAGGGACTGATTATAAAGTAAAACTAATAGTATTCAAAATTTCTGAGCAGAAAGATCATATGTGCTTCAAAAAAACACACACAAAAAACCCTGATCAAATTATGTCCCATTGTGAAACAAGCAGGCTGAAAGAGGAATTATGCTGGTATGTTTGCATAGGTGAGGTATGCATTCCTTCCAAAATAACGAGATCGTAGGGTCAAAAAATAGCATGCTGTCAGATCTGAGTGTTACAGCCTGATCTAAGCCTTGCTGAGCCAGCTAATAAAGCTTCAGACTCAACCACTGCTCAGGTACAAACTCTCCCTCAAGTCAAACACACGTTCAAGTGGTGTGATTCAGGTATGGCTGATGTGCAGGAAAAAAGATTTAAGAGCGAATATGTTTTGGTAAATAATGTTTGTTCCAGTTGGCAAGAAACTGACTACAACTGCCTTTTTGCCAGCTTATTTTTGAGGTTTCCTCTGGTCCGCACAAAGACAGATGAGGAAGAAATGAATTTATGAAGAGAGGCACACTCCAAATGTTTCATGATAGAAGAAAAGAAAATAATGAGAAAATGACAGAGCAAGCTTCATATCATTATAATACAAGCCACCAACATTACATATTCTTGGTCTGAATGGGAATTTTAAACCATCAGCACATTGTTCTTAGATTTATTAAAGCATATCTGCCAAACAGGTGGCAAAACCATGGGATGTGTTGATTTGACTGCTACACATGTTCATTTGCAAGTTCATTAGATTTATCAGAACAGGCAAGATTACATATCCGTTATTTTCAGTGAAGGAGTAGCAAGCAGCATGGGAGATCTAGCAGCTAATATTAGAGAGAAGAGATGTAAGCTCAGTGGTAGAGCCCTTGCTTTGATGCAAAAGGTTCCAGGTTCAATCACTGGCATTTTCAGCTCAGGATGGGAAAGGGATCCATCTTAAACCATAGAGAACCTCTGCTAGTCATGTGTAGGCAATACTGAGTTAAATGGCACAATGCCTAACATGGTGTTTGCGAGTATCATATCTTCCTAATGTTAGAGACCAAGTCCGCTGCTGGTTTACATTTTTCTCATCTTCCCTTGACTCTTTTCTCAAATCCTTCTAGTTCAGAACAAAAGATCCATCTAGTCCAGCAGTTTGTTTCTAACAACTGCCTGCCAAATGTTAATATGGTATACATCTCCAATATTCATCTTAGCCAAGAAGAGCCTGCTTATGGGTAGATAAGGGTAATACAAAAGGTTCACCTAAGCCCACAATCTGATGCTTTTTTTATACGCTGGCCTCCTGCCCCACTGGTGGCCAAAAATGAACAAATTCAAGAAAGAAGAGAAATAAAACCACACATGTTGTTATTATCTAACCCAGAGCACTAGGTGAGTGGTCTTGTATTTTTCATCTTCCCTCAGGCCGACATCTTACATTCCTTTCATTATGTAGACTGAAGCACTCTATAAAAAAGATTTCATTAAAGGTAAAATACATAGAAAAGATAGATCATTTCTGACCTTCTTTAAACTGTAGGAAGCAATGGAAGATAATAAGAGCACAGAGGAACATGAGCATCTGAGAGCATTAGCACTAACAGATTGCAAAAAAGATATTTGGCACCATCAGCACGGTACTAAAAGGCACTTGTAGAACAAGGAATTGAATCGCATTATGAGACGAAATATCTAGCCATGCATGACAAGGCATGAAAAGTTAAATAAGGTTTCACATGAGTACTAATAAAATACAAAGGGGTGCATTACTCTCATAGCTATTCACTGGTGTATAGTCACATCCATTGTATTTAGGAAGTGACTTCATAAAATTTGCCCACTGGTGTGAATAGAGGAGAGAGAAATTCACTTAACATACACAGCCAAAGTTGCTTGGCAGGGATGAATAGGATGCTGTGCTTGGAATGGCAAAAATGAAAAAGAAAAGGAAGTGTTTGTGCTGAGACACCAACCAGTGTATAAAAAGTTACCAAAGGAAACTCCTAAAGGGATGGGCCCAATCCCCAACATTACAAGTTCATATCTGCACAATTAGGGATTCAATAGGGTTCAATAGACCCACTTGTACTGATTGGAGGGGAAGGGATACATGGGAGTAGCAGAGACATGCCCTCTAATGTCCCATCATTTTGCCTACTTGTATGCCTGTGCACGTGCAAGTAAAACAGGTGGCACCGAACTGGTGCTGGAATATTGCTCTATTGATCCCTATAAAAACTTGCAATGTACGGGCATTGCGCTCACAGAATCTGTTTATCATACTTATTGTGTCCCTTATATTCATAGCTGTATGTACTCTAACCCATGAAGAAATAGATTTCAAGAATTATTTGGAATACTGTGAAAATGGGTTCACTGGATTTGATGCAGACCAAGTTAGTTGCACAAAGCCCAACTGAAATAATTGGGGAAAGTAAGGCATGCCTAACTTAAGCCTCAACAATGTTAATGAGACTCAAGTACAACTAATGTGCTCTGGATCCAACGCATGGATTCTGACTTAACGACCAGAGCTCTTTTTGTTACAAGGAAGTGTCTTCATTTAGGGCAATTTAAGAACCTGTCTTGAATAAAGAACAGTGTCTGTTTTTATTGCCATGACACTGAAGAAAGTGATATGAGCCTAAGCAGCTTCACACAATGCACATCCCCACAAATGCCAGGGTGCCATTACCAGGACCAGTTCCTGTGCGCTTTCAAATATGCAGGGTCAGAGGGCCACAGCCAAAGCCTCCTGATCAACCAAGAGTCAAACTAGATGTAACATTAATTGAATACACGAGCAATTAATGTGCGCGTATGCCCATTTGTTCATTATATAAATAGCATCCTAGGGTATAAGCCTTGGGCCTCAGTACCAATGGTGCCACTGGAGGCTTCCCTAAAATGCAAATAGCTTCAGAAAGGGGATTTTTTGTCTGCGAGAAGGAAAGTGTTAAAATGCTCCTCACCACCACACACAGGCTGGAGGTTGATCTAGTTTGGTTCTAAATGTCCTTCATAAGGGCAGGGATGGCTTTCTGTTCCTCTTGTTTTGCTCGGCAACATTCATTTATTTTACAGCTGTCATTATTTCACCAGTTTTGCAGGCTAATTGTCTCCGTTTCCCTTAAAACAACTTACCAGAAAGCTAAACTCAGACCTATACAAAACCATACACCATTAATAGCCTATACAATTCAAACATTATGTGTAATTGAAAACAACATAATTGTTAGAGACTGCAGTTGTTAGAGATCCAATTACTATGGGTTGGATAACAACCTGAAAAAATATAGAAAATATAACTGCTTGATCACATCCATGAAAATGTAACAGCAAGCATCTCTTTATAGCAGGGGAAAGTTTCGATATTTGTCAGTTCTAAGATTATACCTTAAATTCACAAAAGAAAAAACAGAAGCCAGTTATTGTTAAAATTTGCTAACCTCTGTTTTCCTTCTCTCAGTTGGATGAAGTCTGTCAACCACTTCACTCACTTTAGCAAGCCATTCCTTCCCTGATGCTGAGGAAGTACCTCCCCAATTTTCTACTAAAAAATCTTTGGCTGCTACTAATAGATCCCTTCCCATTTTTCTCTTTTGCATTGTAGCATTGCAAGGGTAAATTGGGCCAAATATCAATATTCACAGCTTGCCTTGTCACTGGTCATTGAAACTGTATTTGAGTTCTGGTTCTGTAACTTGCTCACGCAAGTGTTATGATGCACTAATATTGCTCTGGTATTTTTGTTTCACCCGAGCATCGGAAATCTGCAATCTGCTAAATGCTCCTGAACTGTTTCTTGATGCTTTCCAAGCATCCATGTCCAACACTCCATCTGTCAATGATTCTGAGCCTTTAAATAAATAGCTACCTACTTATCCCTACCTTGAGGCTTTGCTGGTGCCTGAATGAACATGAGTTAGATGATCCAGAGAGCTATCCTGGTCATTTGAATGAAACACCAAAGCTGCTGAAACATAGCTCTTTTGCAAGTTCTGTTTTGAAGAAGCAATTTTACACCTTGGTGAATATGCCCCCTTTCCCCATTCCCCCCCCCCTAGTGTAAACTGTAAATCTTTAGACTAAATGGTAAGACTATCATACATACATAAAGTGTTTCTTTGCTCCTCGAGAAAAATGGGGCAGGGGGAGTAAGGCCCCTTTAAACAAGTTTAAATCTGCAACTATTCTACTAAACAGCTGACATAACTTCACCGTTGTGGTGTGAAAATCCCATTTTATATCTCCATATTTTGAGCCTTATTTTAAGAGGTGATAAAGGTGCAAAAATTCTGTTCAGCATGCTGTGAAATATCTAAGTCTTGAACTTTAATTAACAGGAATAAAAATGTGTTGCAATGATGTGAAATGTTGCCAATTTTCCGAGATTCCAATGGTTCCACATTCCAACTCTGCACACTGACCTGTTTGATGAAGGTGATCTCTTGCTAGTTCAAATAGACGCATATGCATGTTTGTTATGGGGTTAAAAGAGCCACAGGCAAGAAGGGTGAGGGGTGTCAGATGCTTCATGGAGGCAAGCAATCTCTGCAGCAACACACCCTAAAGGGGTGAGGGGAGAAATAGCAATTATATTAGCTCATACAGCTAACAGCCTTCTGAAAGTTTTTCTCAAAATGAACAATGAATCATCATTCTATTTTTAAAAAACAACTCACTGAAACATTATAGTAGACTAACAATGAATGAATATCCTAAGTACTAATGCTGAAATCTACATCTTTATTGAAATAAATAGGAGCCCTGGGGAGGACTATACTATAGCTACATCAGATTTATTTAGTTTTGAAATCTATGTCTTCTCCCTCCACTATATTGTCCCATAGGATCTTCAGGGTGGATCAAATCACAAAGAAAATACAATGAAGTCAAAATCTTGTATGCAAATGTTTCAGAGAAATACTGCATACACACATGGCTATGTTGGGTATCAGCACTTTTCCTATTCATTCTCATTGTCCTCTGCATTGATAGGACCTTCATAAATATGGAATGCTCTCCCTTTACCAGTGCTACCTTTCTAGCTCATCATGTGATAAACAACTGCATCTGAGTTACTCCAAGAAAAAAGCTGCCATTTTTGCACAGTGGCTGTTCCCCTGGGAGAACAGGAGCTTCAACAATTTGGGAGAATTTTCATCAGGACCATTGGGCTTGTTACATCCACACAGACCCTTCCAATGTGCAATGGTTTCTCCATCCTATACCCGTTTTGTTTTGAAAACAGAAGCTAACTCATGAAATGTGGTCACCCTTGTCTCACAATGTCAGCTCGGCCCTAAGGCCTCAAGACAGTGTTTTCAATTGTGTGACTTCTCTGTATAATCTGAAAAGAGATTAAAACCTGTGAGGGCAGACAAGCAGCTCTGGATGTTTTGTTCATAACTCAGATTGAGTCTGCTCCTCTCTCAGCCTTTGTCCTGCAAACATTCATCTGAACTCCAAATAGTTTGTCGCTTCGAAACAACAAATATTTGTGACATTATATCAGACCTGTTATTCTGAAGGGACAATCACTGTCTATATGAGAATGAACTCCAAATGCTTCTGCTTCAGACTCTTTGAGCTATTTATGCCTTTCAAACCTAACTCTTCCTGTTGCTCAAGTAGTGACTCCCCACACAATCGTGGCAAATTGTGTTGTGAGTGGGTCTCGCATATTAAAAAGGTCACCAAGCGGTAATGCCAGTATATAGATTTCAAGCAGCTTCCATGTAGCAGTCACAATTTAAGATTTTGATGGTTCATCCCTCAGAAATGGGATACCAAGCCAGAGGCCAAAGTGAATTTAGGGGCTGTTGGCTCTCTGGCCTACTTATGACCAGAACCTGTTGATAGGTGCTTAGCTGTCTGGAACTTTTATCACTAGCAGAGTCACAAGTGGGATCACTACAAAATGTTAGAGTGCTGCTCTTCAGTATTCCGACCACTCGACTCCGATCTGATTTTCCATTCCACCAATCCCCAGGCAGTTTGCATTTTGTGGCCCTGAGTATGCTCAGTGCTCATTAGACTTTGGGGGAGTTTCCCCTCTTAGAGTTTATTTCTTAAGATATTTTTTTTGTACTTCTGCAAACTTTGGGGTTCACCAAGGCAGCCTTTACCTCCTTCTCCTGCATAGGTGGTGGGTGTTTTGGCTACATTACATCAGAAAAAAGAGAACCATGATACTAGAGAAGAAATACTTATTGCCTGGATGACTGGAGCATGCAAGTTACCGTAAGTCACACTGTATAAAAACAAGACATTCACATGCCCTGCACCCAACAGGCCCAATGAATCCAAGTACTTTGTTCTCAATGTAGTTGATCTGCTATGATTGCACTCATCCAAAAAACCCACCACCACAACACTCAATAAATAAGTGAATGTACACACTTTATCTCTCACAGAGAAAAGTAATGGAAATCTAATTAAGAATACAGGATGCTGGGAAGCAGCAGCTTTTACTTTGTGACTGTAACAGCAAACAGTGTACATTATTAGGGGGCCATTAACAAAGGTCCTGAAAACAGACCCCTTTGCTTAAAGAAAAGAGAAGCACTCTCAAGCTGGCAAAACCTACTTAGATGTCAATGTAAGAGCCAATTTGCACCTTTTCAAAGACACTTACAGCACCCTGAAATAAACTCTGCATACAAAGTTTAGACACTGAAGAGACCTCGCTGAATTTGTTCCTCATTAACTGCCCCTTGTTGAGTAGACAAGTCAGTAACTGTGTCACGGAAAATGAAGGAGAGGAAAAGCAGGGCAAGAAACACTTGTATGTAAGGGTGTGAATAGAGAAAGAGAGAAGGAAAAGTAGAGGGCAGCTGGTCAAGAAACTTGTGTATAAGTGGGAAAGGCAGAAAAAGGAGAGCATATCTCCCTTCAAATGCCCTCATGAAGTAGGCTTCATTGCGGATAGGGTTGTGCTTTTATCCTTAGCACGCCCAATGTTATGCAGCTCCTTTACCCCATTTCCTGACACCCACAGGTTGAGCATGGATGTCTGAATTGAGGAAGCCTATGCAGAGACTCCTGGGAGTAGGCCAGAGAGTCAACAGCTGCTAATGTAGGGGCTTCCCTTGCGCTTGATCCAGAAGCTGCAGTTAGTGTAGAAAGCTGCAGCACGGCTGCTGACAGGAGTGGGACCCAGTCAGCATAGAACGCCTTTGCTCAGAGATCTCCACTGGTTGCCAATTTGCTACTGGGCCAAGTTCAAGGTGTTCCTATTTATACATAAAGCCTTTAACAGTCTGGGACATGTTTGCATATGAGATTGCCTCACCCCATATATTCCAGGTTGATTGTTTCCATCTGCAGAACTGGCCCTGTTGCAGGGGCCACATAATACTTGCTCCACAGTTGTAAGAAATCATTCTTTCAATGTGGAAGAACCTATGTGATGTGGATGGAAGGCCTGGCAAGGGAACCAGTGAGATAACAGTGGGAGACAAAGCAGCCACAGCATCAATATTCAGATTTATGTGTCCAATATCTGACTTTCAAGTAGGCAGTCCTGATTTAAGTGGAAATCATTAGCATCTATTTTTTTTACCCTTACTCAAATAAAAGATATTGTGAAACCATCTTCCAGGTCTCTGTATATTCTGGAATCAGAGAACTGTGGAGTTGGAAGGGATCCTGAGCGTCATCTAGTCCAGCCCCCTGCAATGCAGGAATATTAATGAAGTTCTATGTACATGACTGGTGGCCTTCCAACCTCTGCTGAAAAACTTCCAAGGAACGAAAGTCCACCACCTCTCGTGGGAGTCTGTTGAACAGCTCTTACTGTTAGAAAGTTCTTCCTAATATTTAAAAGGAAGTTGCTTTCTTTAAAAAGAAAAAATGACCTGATGGGTTGCTGCTTCTATTCTAAAGCCTGTTTTTAGAACAATCTGCAGGAGGCTGTACACAGCTATATAGCTACCCCTCCAGCTCAGAAAGGGGAAGTAGGCATCTACCAGGCAAATGGAACTCCCAGCAGGCGCAGGGGCAAACTATTGTGACTACACTGTTCTACTCTAGCTCAGAGCTGGAGATTTTAAAAATGGCTCTCTGTTTGCACCCAAAAAGCACACAGCTAAAAAGCAGGCTTCTGTCTATATTTGTGGCTGGGGAAGGGGCAAGAGTCATTCTTCCCACTCTGGTTTAAGGATTCATCTTGCTCACCAGAGCTTCGCTGACGTCTCACCATGGCAAGAGGGACAAGTAAGAATTTGCAGGCCCAGTCAGGAATCATTTGAAAGCTCATGACCTGAACTACTTAATTTTCAAATAGCTGTTGTACTTTCAAATGCTGAAAGCAGTTTCTTGCCACACTGCTTACAAACTGTTTTTGGTTTATTTGTAGTGCAGTTATCATACAAAGAGGATACAGAGATCTGCCCGTAAGCATTAACTTGAAACCCAGGGTTTGAACTTCTCTTACAAAGGCTTCTAGTAAAAATGGGGTATTTGGAATTCCAGATACAAACCAACCCTCAGGAAATCTATTTTAAGAACAGAGATTATTTTATTTCAAAATCAAGATGCACAAGTACAGCATCAGAAAGGAGGAAGGCACACAGCTGTAAGGTTTACTGCTTCAAAGCAATGATTTGGAAATACTTAATTCTCTTTGATCGTTGCAGCGCATCAATAATGTGTCTGCAATGACAATGAAAATGAAAGAAATGTCTCTAGCTAAAAATAGCCAACTCTGCTCACTAAGTACATAAACTTATGTACCCACATGGCTCTAGAAATCCTACGAAGGAATGCCACAAGCACAGCATGCCTTATACCGGGGGTGTTAGCCTGTGTCCCTCTCGATGTAGCTGGATTAGAAGTCAACAACCCTTGATCACTACCCATGTCAGTCTGGGTTGATAAGAGCGGGAGTCAAAGAACATGTAGAGGGCCACATGCCAGCCAGATGTACCTTACATACATCTCCCATTTGCAAGTTCTTGCACGCTGAAGTCTTTTATCTGGACCAAAGCCCACACTCCACCCTGAATCTGAAGGCCAAACAAGATGTGACAAGGCAGCCATGTATCTCAGTGTCTGCCCTGTTCATACATAAAGCAGAGCTGGGTAAGGACCTATTCTTCACATGAAAAGGACTGTATGAGGGAGGAAAGCCAAACTCATCACCCAGCTCCCTTAAACTATTGCACTTTAAGCTGCTTCTTCCCAGCTGAGATCACTTCTGGTGGAACACGGCAGGTAAGGTGGAGGAGTGAGTTTTGCTCCCCCACAGGCATTTTACGGCAAAGATTATTCTTCAACTTTATATGCAAACGGAGCAGATGCGTGGATGGCTGCTCTGCCTTATCTAGTTTGACCCTGAACACAGCTGCATTTTCAAGGACATTTATTAACACAACAAAGTGAACTGTTAAAACTGGAGACTGTGAAATGTGCAACCATAGATTAAAACATGGTACACTGTATACAAAGTCCAGTTTCTTATATAGCCCAGGAACAGTTGAAATTAAAAGGGGGAGCTTTACAAGCTAGTACTATGCCTATGAAGTCTGTCAGATTTAAATATGATTGACTAGATTGTATAAAGTTTAAATATTCCTTACAATTCCAAATTATTTACCATTTAAGCAATGCAAGCGTGAGTAGACCAGCACACACCCAACAAACCACCTTCAAATAAGGTCTGTTTAAGTCAGAATTCCCAATATATCCTAACCAGAGAACATTGGTTTTACTAACTGGGTACTCAGTCAGTTCTTAAGCCACAGTTTCCTCCTAGTTTACATCCTTGTTCATAAAGCAACATGGCCTGTACAGACAGAACAGGAAGCAGCCCTGGAGTGAAGCCAGCACTCAAGGTGACGAGACTAGGTAAAGATATGTGCACACAAGTCTGACACCTGTTCTCAGTTTGCTAAACTAGGGACAGGGAGATCATACGGACAACTAAAAAAACAACTGAGCCAGCCTAACTACACATGCAATCAAGTTCCATAGCTGTGGAGACACCATAGAGAAGGTCCTGTTCTGTGAGCCCACTAACTTGTCTTTCAAGGTGAGATCCTAAAAGGCAGGGCTTCTCAAGTGAATCTTAAGGCACAGGTAAGTTGATATGGGTGCAGGGAATGCTAAAATACTCTGGTTTAAAAATATTCAGTGTTTCAAAGGTCATCACAAGCGTTTTAAATTTGGGGCCAGAAACACAGTGGTACAACATAGGCTGCTTCAACTGCCTGGCTCCAACAAACAACCTGAAGGCTGAATTTTGTACCAGATGAAGTTCCAAAACCATGGACAGCATTGCAGTACTCCAGCTTGAATATTACATGGGTAACTGAAGGAAGGTCCATTCTCTTCACACAGGTGAACCAGCTGAAGCTGGTTAAGAAGGACCCCTGGACCACCACCGTCAGCTTCAACCTCGCCAACTCACATCAAGCCCAACAGCATTCCTGAACTGCGAACTTCCAAACACAAAATCACCATCAGCATAATTATTACCCTGAAAAATAATGGCATTGAACTAGTGATTGAGTCAAAGTTCAAATTAGGAGTCATTCGGGAATATGAATTGCCACAGTTCATAATGCCTCACTCCACTATAAGGCAAGCCATCATCCTTCCACATTTGGTCACAGGCTTCTGCTTCTTAGCACTGGGGCTCACCCACCACCAAAATAGCAAGGAAGCAATCCTTAAAAGGTTTGGAAGAAAATGTCTGTTTATTTACAAACACACTCCAGCTTAATACACGTAGAACACTTCTTCATCAGAGGCAGCTGGAGCACATTCAGAAACTACCAAACACTGTAGAACTTTACACTTAAAAATAGATATAATGCATTAAGTGTATGACATTTAAAAAGTTGTTGTTAAAGAATGCTCATAATATCTTGGTTTACATGTACACATTGAACAATATTCTTCAAGGACTCTTACAATTCAATCCTATACATATTTACTCAGAGGTCCCATTGAGATTAGTGGGGCTTCCACGCAAGTAATTGAGAAAGCATTGCAGCATAACAATACACTATTCTATGAATGTTCACAATTATAGGATGAATGAAACAACTAATGCGCCATAACAGTTAATAACTATTATATAGTTAACTCATTTTTTCTGTTATAAATAAATTGTAGCGTTCATTTCTACTTTTTATGTATTTCAGTTATTTGCCTTTCATGACTTCCCAAAGTGGCTTACATTACAAAGAAACATTAAAGCATATAATTCAAATTACAATAAAAACAGTCAATTTAAATAACCCTAACAGAATAACATTCAGTGAACATTACCAAAATCCCCAGCTGCAGCCTATACAAAAATACATTTCGGTTAAAGAGAAGAAACCTTTTTAATTTCTTGCAAGATTAATATAAGAAAGCAAACAAGCAAAACACACCTAGCCTTAAAGGTCACTTCCTCAACTTGAATGAGGAGTTCCTTAGGATAGCAACCAATATAGCTGCCTACTTGTGGAAATCAAGGAGAGTTGTCCATTGTCAACATAAAACTAGGGGTTTAGGCTATCAACAGCCAACATGTTACATGTTACATATTTTCACATTCTACTATTATGACCTGGATGGTCATAGTTCATGGTGTTTTCAACACTTCAATGAGTCCAAATTTCACAGGTCAGCAAAGTGTCCCCTGGCCAAACACATGGCCAAAACACCCCAGAAGCTACTTTCAACTAGTTTGAGAAAAGGGGTGTTTGTGTGGGAATCAAATGCTGTAAGAAAATGTACATAAGTTCTTCCTGCATCATTTCTATTCCTACAAGGTATCAATAATAAATGATGTTACCTCAGAAGGTTCTGCTGAAAACAGTCAGTAATTGGAGACATTTATGATTAATTACGAGAATCTACAACATAGTGATGAGCTTGCATTTTAATTTTTGAGCTTCCTGAGTGGGCTGTAAAAATTAGTAAAATGAAGGGCAAGAAACACAGATACAGTGGGCTGAAAGGAAACAATGCGATGGGGAGGAGAGGGGCAGAAAGCCTTTATTCTCTACAAAATAATAATAAACCACTGGGATTCTTATATCAATAGACCATTCGACACTGCAGACTTCTTCACAGATCCTTTGCTAGAGACTATCTTTTACAAGCACATTGTAGCACCTGTTGCGAGCCCTCCGAATTTTCCATTTGCAAGAACTGTCTAGCTTAAAGGGATAGCAATATGTAGATGGTGAGGGAAACCTCTTCATACCCAGCAATACTGATTTCATAATATATTATGACTTGGTTGGAGAGCCTTTTTTTATTTAATCAATTTATTTAATAAAATTTGTCAATTTCCCATAGAATCAGAAAAATCAGGGAGTAACCATTATGCTCAAATACTCAGCATGTAGAGCTGAACTGCGGACCCCATTACGTGGTATAATTAATCAGGAGTTTCCTGATGTGCCCATTTTGTTCTCTGAAACAAGCTCCTTAACATTTCCAAAAGCAAAGAACAAACCACCTGCTATTTTACTTCGTTTGAAGTAGATATGTATCATATTACATTGAAAAAAGCAGAAAAAGTAAATGACCACATACAAAAGTTTCCCCAAAATAATTAGTTTTTGAATTTGACACTGAGATTTCCAAAACTTCTCAGGGGGAGAGGGAATACAGAGCCTCAATTTTAGAAGTGTTTGCACACATTTTACATTGGCAACTTTTTGATTAGAATTCTATACCATAGCGGCAAATTGCTTGTTTCCTACTTGCAATTATTTGTAATTTGTTCCTCCTGAAGAGCATAAATTAGCTAGGTCTGAACTGTGAACTGCCAATATTAAATAAACACCTGCAGAGGAAGGAAATGACTGTATGTGACGTGTTAATAAATACAGTCTACTTTGTATATATGTAGTATATATTATTACCACACAATGTAATGAAAAAAATACTACTGCAACAGGGGAGACAAAATTTCATTTTTCCTTAATATGTATTTCATAATAATAAGACACTACTCAGGGGTGAACAATACATTATATGCATATGTTTTGTGTGTGCTTTAAATGAAAAGGAACCAGGAGTTAATAGTACTTAACCTCTTCCTTACTCATTTTCTCCTCTAAATTATATCTCCCCACTACTGCCACCATGGCTCTTTTCCACCCTGCAGAATTCTAGGTGTGGGCTTAGCTTTATAAACACACACATGAAATCTGATGGAAGCAAAATCAGCTGGTTTTTTTTTTTTACATGGGGGGCGCTGCGAAGGAAAGGATTAAGCAGCATTCAATTTTCTTTCTTTCTTTCTTTCTTTCTTTCTTTCTTTCTTTCTTTCTTTCTCTTTCTTTCTTTCTTTCTTTCTTTTTCTCTCTCACACACTATTTTCCAGCACAAGAGATGCTATACCTCCAGAAAGTATCCCATTTCCAATGCTGCTCTGACCAAAGAAAAATGATGACTGGGAAGGCCTATATTGAAAACTGCATATGTTCACAGAACCAGAATGACTTACTTCACTTAAATTAATTGGAATTATAATCCATTTCTATGGGCCATCATTCCCACTAAAATCTGCCCCATGTAACATACCACATTAACTATATTCACGAGCCTGTATAAAAAAGTGTTACAGACTAAAGGTCATTTTCAAGCGTCTTGTGAAAAACACAATATATTTTAAAGACGTACGGAAAAATAAAAAAATACAACCAGCCAAGAGTTTCACCCATAGAGTACAGTATTAACCATGCCATACTGAATGAATTCAAACAGTTTACAAATGATATACAGCAGAATAATTTTAATACCTTTGGGGTTAAAAATGATAGTGATTTAACAGCATACACCATACTACCGTTGTAGCACAAGAATAATAATAGTCTCTCCAGATGTAATTTTCATTGCAAAGGCTATAAATACTCAAATTGTTGGTATTTAGACCCAGGATTGTTCTTACCACCAACATTCACCTCAATAGTTTTAAGGCCATTCATCTACTGAACCAACATCACCTTCCCTCCTTAAAATGTACTAGTCCAACTGACTTCAGAATGTAGAATTAAGCTATGAGCCTTTGAAGAACATATGGGTGTATGTTAAATTTCCCATTCAAGCACTAACTTCACAAAATGCATAAAGAATTCAGGTCATTATTTGAGGCAAGGAATTTGCAATGTAACATCTGGATTAAAAGTAACACAGCAACAATTAATTATGATCTCCCGGAATCAGATGCCAAAATACTTCGTTTTAATAGCTTAGAAGAAAATAATAAAAATACTTCACATACTGTATCAACCTTGCAGCACAATCCTGTGCTTGTTTACCATTGGGATTACATCCGAGTAAGCGTGGCCAAGAGTACACTGTAAAAGGTCTATCAATGACAAGTGTGCACTGACTGGGCCCCTGACTGTATGTTCAGTGATGTGTGGGCTTGTTTGCAATCCAATAAGTGAGCAGAAGCTCTTAAACCAGATGGGTTCAGACACCATAAGCATATATGCAGTGTTATACAGTATTTCGCTTCTCTGGGTATCACTTGACATTGAACTGCACTTCCCATTTTGAGCTCACCACTCGGGTGAGATCCTTTCCCAGCTCCTCACAGTCTGTTCTCACCACCCTAAACTGTCATCACAGAAAGTGACTGCTGCCTCAGGTGATTTATGGAGACTTTAAAAAAGACTGGCCCCAAAAGAGATCCTGGGGGATATCCTGCATAGCTGTCAACTTTTCCCTTTTCTTGTGAGGAATCCTATTCGGAATAAGGGAATTTTCCTTAAAAAAAGGGAAACGTTGACAGCTATGGTATCCTGCCTCTCTCTTGCGAGAAATGCGCATTCATCTCAACTGCTTGCTGTTCTTTAACCAGTTACTGACCCACGAAGCCCACGCCTTTTATCCCATGCCTGCTGCTATATTCATTCAGGAGCCTTTGATGTGGGTCGTTATATATACGTATATATAAAACTTTTTCTTTGAAAAAAGGTCTTAAGTAGCACACAAGCACGGAAGTGCACAACGTGCTTCCAACACTTAAATGACTAATAAAACTGAACCTGGGGTTCATGCAGAATCGCCTATTTTTGCACCAGCCGAGCAGCTTGCCCCCCTACCCACCCAATGACAAAGTTTCACCTTTGCAGTTCTGCATAGGAAACCTTTCTGTGTTCACGGGCCAGCAGCAGCAGCAGCAAACCAGTTACTGTACTTCTTGGCTGTTCCTGGCCAGCTAGCAAAGGGGGACGGGAATCCTACAATAAAATTAGTGGCTGTATTCTGCACATGCTCATGAGCACGTCCCCCCCCCTTAAGTTTCGTATACGGAGGACAGAATGAGACCTTCCTGCAGCTACAACCGCTGCCGCCAGCCTGGCACGAGACGGTCGCAACCAGAAAGGGCTGCGCGCGCCGCCTCAATAACGAGCCTGGGGGGGGGGAACACACGAGACCGCGCGTGCGCACAGCTCGCCCCTCCCCCGCGACGAACTGACCCCCTTCTCTCTCTCCTTCCGCTTGTTCGCACTCCCTGGTTGACGCCCCCCCCCCCTCCCGTTCCCGTCAACTCCCCTTACCAGCGGAAATCGACCAGCTCGGCTTTCTTTCGGCTTCCTCTACTTGATTGACAGACTGGGCCCTTCTCCAGGGGCGGGACTTTCACCCCGGGAGAGCCAACTCCGGCGAAGGGCGGGTGGGCGTTGCGGATTGGCTGAGGCGGGCGGGAGAGCGGGACTTGTAAGATGGCAGCCAGTCGCTTTTGCCTTATTTTTTCCTCTCTGGCCATTTGGGAGGGCGCGTGGAAAGCCCGTCCTTGCACCGCATCCAGTCTTGGGTGTTGTTGTTGTTGTTTAGTCCTTTAGTCGTGTCCGACTCTTCATGTCCCCATGGACCAGAGCACGCCAGGCACTCCTGTCTTCCACTGCCTTCCGCAGTTTGGTCAGACTCATGTTTGTAGCTTCGAGAACACTTTCCAACCATCTCGTCCTCTGTCGTCCCCTTCTCCTTCTTAGTCTGTACAGTAGTACCTCGGGTTAAATACTTAATTCGTTCCGGAGGTCTGTTCTTAACCTGAAACTGTTCTTAACCTGAAGCACCACTTTAGCTAATGGGGCCTCCTGCTGCTGCCGCACCACCGGAGCACGATTTCTGTTCTCATCCTGAAGCAAAGTTCTTAACCCGAGGTATTATTTCTGGTTTAGCGGAGTCTGTAACCTGAGGCGTATGGAACCTGAAGTGTATGTAACCCGAGGTACCACTGTACTTGAAAGTTTAGGATGGGTCAGCAAACTTTTCATCCATTGGCCAGTCCACCGTCCCTCAGAACATGTGGTGGGCTGGGCTATATTTTGAAGGGGAAAAAATGAACAAATTCTTATGCCCCACAAATAACCCAGGGATGCATTTTAAATAAAAACACACATTCTACTCATGTAAAAACACCAGGCAGGCTCCACAAATAACCCAGAGATGCATTTTAAATAAAAGAACACATCCTACTCATGTAAAAACACGCTGATTCCCAGACTATCCACAGGCTGGATTGAGAAGACAATTAGGCCACATCTGGCCCCCGGGCCTTAGGTTGCCTAACATTGGTTTAGGATAATGGTGGGACTAAGCCTTGGCCTGCTCAGGCTCTCAGCCCCACACCTATCCCCACCCCACAAGATTTGTCTTATATGCTTGTACTCTGCTCCACAGACAGGTGAAGGCATTTCTCTCTAACCAGGCCTTTGGCTGATTGACTTCTGATGCCCTTTTAAATGTGTTATTGGTTTGTTTTTGTTATTTTTATTATGCATGTGGCTTTTTTATTTTGTAATTTAATGTTGTAAATCAACCTGAGATCTATGGGTGTAGGGCAGAGGTAAGGTAAAGAACCCCTGGATGGTTAAATCCAGTCAAAGGCGATCATGGGGTTGTAGCGCTCATCTTGCTTTCAGGCTGAGGGAGCCATGTTTGTCCACAGACAGCCTTCTGAATACTGTGGCCAGCATGACTAAACCACTTCTGGCACAACGGAACACCATGACAGAAACCAGAGCACACAGAAACACTGTTTACCTTCCCACCACAGTGGTACCTATTTATCTACTTGCACTGGCGTGCTTTCGAACTGCTAGGTTGGCAGGAGCTGGGACAGAGCAACAGGAACTCACGCCGTTGCAGGGATTCAAACCGCCGACCTTCCGATCAGCAAGTCCAAGAGGCTCAGTGGTTTAGACCACAGCGCCACCCGTGTCCCTTTTTGTAGGGCAGAATACTGATTTAATACAAAAATGAATAAATAAATAAATAACAATGGGCAACACCTGCAAATTAGTACCTACATATGGCAAGTCCCACAACAAACACTAAGTGTCGCCCCTCGAGCAAATGTGTCAATCCAGAAAACATGATACGGTAGTTTTCTTGGCATGACATAGAAATGCTGCAACATAAAGTCAAAATTGCAGTCCATTCCTCAGTGCACTGAGAGATGACGATAAGTGGCTAGTGAGGAAGATAGAAGAAGGTTGCTTGGCAGACGCTTTATCTCCCTTACTTTCCCTTCTATCAGTTGCAATTCTTATAACACTGAAATGAAGTTCCGCTTTTGCTTTCTGCTTTTGATGGGTATAGAAGGACAAGTGGGAGGCAATGCTTTTGTAATCCATGACTGTTCAAATCAATTGAAGTTGGTCTGGCTATTTAGTTCAGTGGGGTATGTGCCTTTGTTCATGATCATATGCTTTCTCTCTACTGAACAGTAAGAGACAGAACATCAATTTTATTTTCATTAATCTACAATTATAGAGCTCAAGGGGGTGTTCTAATGTCATCTTGGGGAAAAATAATAGCTTCCCAGTTGGCACCTAAACAAAACTTCCCTATTTGTATATGGTCCATTTCCATTTAGATGACCTTTCATTGTAGGGCTGCTTTTGATTTTGCAGTTGAACTGGTTGTTTTTTCAGAATACCTTATTATAGTTCCTACCACATTTCTGTCACAAATTAATCACTGGCAGTAATTCAGAGCTTGGGAGAACATACAAACAGAAAAAATTCAAAAGGAAAATGGAGATTTCTTAAACAATAACCCCACAAATCAGTAACAACACTAACAAATTCTGATCAGGTTTATGTTGTCTCTTTTGTAATGAGTTTTAAAGTTATTGTTTTAAAACTGACTAACTCCATCACTCAAAGCCCAATGAAAGCAGATATGAAATAGTAGATTGTATATAGGAACGAGTGCTGCTTTTGAAGCTTTTGGCTGGGAAACATTTGATACAGTACACAGAACTTATGAGAAAATTGCAATCAGATGAGGTTAGATTAATTTTACTGAGCTTCCAAATAAGTTATACTTTGTGTCAGAATATAGACTTTGTTTATCAATATTTACAATGATTAGGTTACATTACTTGGGGAGAGAAGAAAGAACTGTGTCAGTTGGGTGATCTGTCTGTCTGTCTGTCTTTGTTTTCCTGTAAACATTGGGGGCATTCACATCTGGGATCCTACTTGAGATGCCCACCCAGAGCCAGCCCTGATAATATTGTTGACACATCTACAATTACTCAGCATTCATAGTTCATATTAAAATATTCCTGTCATTCAAAACAAAAGAACATATCCCAAAGCAAGGTTTTCAGGCCCCAAAAGATAAATAAGGGAAATAGGGTTAAAAGGAGAGGGTAGAGTAGCAGATAAAGCATCAACAAGCACAAAGAAGTAGTCTCGCCATAATTCTCAGGCACAAGCTCGAAGAAAACAAACACATAACCAATAACAATTGGGAAACTATAGGTGATATTCAACTAAATCATGCTGTGTCCTAAATGACTTAAGACCACAAATTTCAGTGGGTCTACTCTAATGTTAGTTATCACCCCAAAAGTATACCCACACAATATATTACAATGGGGAAATCTTACTTAGGCCTCTGCAAGATCTGGAATGTTAAGGAATACTTTTCCTTAAGAAACTGAAATACACTGCAATTGGGTACAGAGATTTTTGAGGTGTTGTCACTAGCATTTTTCTAGGCGATGTTGGAAATTGCATGTAATTCCTCTGGATTTAAAAGAACAAAGAAAGCTGTTTCTAATGTAGGCATACCTGAAAACTAGCCAGGTTGCAGGGTCTCTAAATGACGCACTATGCTGTGCACCCTTTTTAAAAAAAGAAAAGCAAAACCTTTCATAAGCTGTCTTCTTTTGAAGAAAAAAGCTACAGGGCTCTGTCTGGAATGTTTCTGATCTGAATTGGGGCCCCACACCAGTTTTCTGCAGGCACCTTTGTCCTGATTTCCTTCTTTGAAGAAGGAGAAAAGTGGTCTCTCTCTTGTGAAATGGAATAGAGAAATGGGTAATAGAAGCCGATTAGATAGACATTAAAGAGATTTTCAGCATCATTAAGTCCACAAAGGAAAATACAGTGGGGTTAGAGAATAAAATTATCATTATTATTTACAAGTTTATCACAGATATGTATAAGCTGCTTACATGCAATAAGGCTGAGTATCAAAGTAAACATTTGTGTTCTGGAGGCACCTCACAATTGGCCTCAGAAATGTAGACTGTAAGATGAAATCCCCCTGATACCTGCAAAGAAAAGTGTTGGGATCTCTGTAACAACAGGATATTTCTGCAGTGGCAACCTTGCTCTGCTGTACAATACATGGCTTGCTGGTGCAAGGTATCAGACTTGCATGGGTGGGTAAGCATATCAACACTGCTGGAGACCCAAAGGAGAGTGAGTCATGTGAGATGGCATAGGGATTGGGGGGGGCAGGAGATACCAGCCCAGTGTTCATGATTCTCTCCCTTGGCCCACATTTTGGACAGAGACACCATAAAGTACAACACTCAGGCCACATTGCAGATACCATGGCAGAAAGCTATTCACTGTTGTAGGTGCAAGATCTCCAGATCACCATCAATCCCCTGTAAGGCACCTGCTTGGTTCAGTTACTACAAAGGATGCTCAATCATCACATATCTTCACTAGCCCATGTAGTCACTGTTGTGTTTCTTTCCGTAGGCTATGGCTCTAAGGACTAGGATCTGCAGGATGTATGCTACCCTCTGCCATCCTCCGTACAGCCCTGGCTGGGGTGTTGCAGGCACCAGTGATGGTAAGTTCTTTAGCTTACTACTTTAGGTCTTTTACTCTCTTCCCAATAGTGCCTAGTTTCACAAACCTTGTGAGATGCTGCCCTCATGCTATGTGTCTTCACACTGCCTCAGATAACTGGTGAAGCAGGAAGTCACACAGCATGATGACAAAAGATGTTATGAAAAAATGAGATGTTGTCAGTAAGAGGAGAAAAGAGATACAGCGTAGTGGCCATTTCACACTTCACATAATGAGCTTTTTGCACCCCATCCCAATCTCCAAATGGTGTAAGATTCCAGGGGTTCCAAGCACTTGCTCAGGGTTCGGTTTCCTTAGAATTAAGGACAGTGGAGGC